AGAGAGAGAGAGAGAGAGAGAGAGAGATTTAGATATAGATTTATGGGTAGGATTCCTAATGGGCAGAGCAAGGATAATTTTTAGGGAAAAAATTTAGGAATACCTATGAAATCCAAATTATTTACCTACCAATACCCATTTCTTCTCATTTACAATTGTGCCCATCAAAATAATTACCCTTTATAACTATTTTAATCCTCAATGATAATATGTCACTTGATCCTTGTTTTTCCCTCTTCCTTTTCCTTTTCATTTATTTTTATTTTTATTTTTATTTCTTTTCTTTTCACTCCCTTTTCTATTTTTCTTCTTTCTATTTTTTTCCTTCTTTTTTCTCACTTTTTAATTTTATTCAAATATGTTTTTATTTATTTCTTTTTTCTTCATAATATGATTTATTCACTTTTTTATTTTTATTTTTATTTTTCTTCTTTTGTATAATTAAAAAAGATAACTGATATAGTAAAAAATTACTCTTTCTTTATTTTTTCTATATAACTGATAGGGTATACCTTATTTTTTCCCTCTATATTAGCTATTAGAAAATAACTTATACATTATACCTTTTTCTCTTTTTTTTTTATATTTTTAATATGTGTATTACTGCAAGTACTTTCGGTATACAGCATATCAAAATAGTATATTAGTATAACAAAAAAGATATATCAGTATAATAAAATGACATATTAGTATTTAATATTATTATAAAAATTTTACACAATAGTATACTAGAACGGCATATAAATATTATATTAAATCTGTATATTATTATTTTATGTCTATCCTTATACTTGCTTCTTATATAGTGAATAATATCTCCATAGAACTCCATTAAACACTTTATTTAAGAAAATATTTGAGAAAAACATAAGAGAACTTCGTCTAAAAATTGAAAAAGGATTTGAAAATTTCAAAAAACTAAAAAATTATCCAATTATAATAATATATTGTTGCAGTATGTTATATAATATTATAATATACTATTGCAGTTTATTGTATAATATCACAATATATTATTATAGTAAATTATATATTATTACATTATATTGTATCTACTATAGTATATCATTGAATTATATTGTAGTAAATTATATACCATAATAGTATACTTTTATAGTATATTATATATTGTAGCGATATACGGTAGGATAACTATGTTTCTTCTATAATTTTCAGTTGAAAATTTTGGTTTCAATCACCTCAAGTCTGCTCCAAATGCGGCCAACTTTCAATATGAACTTCATGAAGGAACTATAAGAAATATTTTGTAATTTTAAACACACAAAATTTCATATCTTAATTTTTTTTAAAACTCTTTAAACAAAAAATCTTTAAAATTTTAGTTTTAACAAACGAGAAAGAAAGTGAAAAATCTGAACAAACATAAGATTTGACAGAAAAGCTATGGGATTATATGAAAATAAAATAGATTACAAGCTCATATTTCCCAATCCCTAACAAACTCAAATCCCTATCCTGATGTGAATGTCTAATTCTTCCACATCAATCATTGCAGTTGTTATCAAAATGATCTAAACCCATCAGCCATCCACATCAAGATTTTCTTCTCCTTTGTTCGAATCTAAATCAATTTTCCTAATTCAGAGAATCAATAACCCAAATGTAGAAATCGAAACTCACAGTTAATAAGAGTGTTCAACTTCTTCACTATTCTTCAAGCCACCAAACATCTGAACGATTCGATTTTTGGAACTAGGAGTTAATTTCAAATTAGATTTTCAGTTAAAAAACCAACAAAAATTTCGACTTACACTGCACAATAAAATTTTCAGAAAACCAAATCAGATCACAAGTATAACGAACTAGTAATAAACCTAAAAAAATCCACTCCGAACTTTGAAAGCCAAAATGGGTTTTCGATGTTTTGCAACAATCCGCCCAAATCATGTGTTAAACCTCAAATCTAGACAAGATCTTAGGCAATGAAGCTAAAACTAGTCTGACATAGTGATACGAAGATATCAATAAAACAAAAACAACATAGGAAAGAAGAAATTACAGTCAAAGAAATTTAGGGAGAAATAAAAACACTGAAGAATGTTATTGCTTTCTCTGGAACTCTGGCTTACAGCATGATATGCAAAGCATATAAATAAGACTAAACCATTAACGTTCAACTCCTAAAAAATCTCTAACAACTAACACAGAATCCTATCCAAAATTAACAACTAAGCTGATATTATTCCTATAAAATAGAAACTAATTTATTTGACTTAGTAAACATAAGTAAAACAATAAATAAAACATGTAAGATGCACTAATTTTTAACACTCCCCCTTAGTGCAAGCTTACGATCAATAACTCCAAAAGCAGTTCTGAAATATTCAAACTTAGGCTTTACCAAGGACTTTGTAAGTATATCTGCTACTTGCTCATTTGTTGAAATTCCTTTCAAAACAACTTCTTGATCTAGCACTTTTTATCGAATGTAGTGATGACGAACATCAATATGCTTCGTCCGACCATGGAAAATGGGATTCGACACAAGCTTGACAACACTTTCATTATCACATCTAAGTTGAACAGCATAATCAACTTTGTGCAGCATCTCTCCTATTAATATTTTCAACCATATACATTCGTGCGCAGCCATAGTTGCTGCGACATACTCAACTTTGGTGCTAGATAATGCCACCACTGCTTGCTTTTTACTGCACCAAGATACCATGGCTGACCCAATGCTGAAACAATATCTCAAGTTGAATGTCTGTCATTCACATCTTCAGCCCAGTCCGCGTCGGTAAAGCCACTTAATACAAATTCTTCATGTCTTCCATACATCAGACCATGATCAAGTGAACTCTTCACATAACGAAGAATTCTTCTTGCTGCATCTAGGTGTGAACTTCTTGGACATTGCATGAACTGAGAAACAATTCCAACAGAATAAGCAATCTCATGTCTTATTATTGAGAGTATTGCATGACTGTGAGTTGTAGCTGTATTTATGTGTATAGCTATATGCATAGTTGAGGGTACTTTTGTAATTAGCTAACATAGTTGGTGAAATATTCTTTCCATGCGTGTATATGTATAACACAATATAGAAATACAGATCAGATTTCTCTTTACCAAATTCATTCTCTGTCCAGAAGCTTCCACTGGTCTCTCTTCTTCTCTCTCGTCTGTTCCTTGTAAGCTCAATCGCTACATCAATGGCAGCTTCTGCTTGCATCTAAACTCTTAATTTTGACATGGTATCAGAGCTAAGGCTCAGTGTTAACTCAATTCTCGTTCAGGCTCATCTATTTCATCACTAATCTCTGTTTGTTTTGAAGTTGCAAGTCAAAATTGGGAAACCCTAATTTTCACCCATAATTTTTCAGATTTGTCGATTAACTCATCTTATATCATGGCGGTAGATGGCGATACTTCGGATTCAACTAATTCACCAAATGTAAACAAAGATACATTGGATTCGACCAATCCTTTGTACATGCATCCTTCAGAGAGTGCCGGGTTGACACTAGTGCCAGTAGTATTTGACGGAACTGGTTATAGATCCTGGAGAAGAGGCGTCCTCAGAGCTCTCTCAGTGAAGAATAAGGTCGGTTTCATCACCGGAAAATGTAAGAAGCCAGATTCCGGCCATCCGACATTTGAGCAGTGGAAGAGATGCGACGACATGGTGACATCGTGGATTTTCAACTCACTTTCAAAAGATTTGGTAGATAACTTACAGTATATGGTCGATGCAAAAGAATTGTGACAGGAACTGGAGGATAGGTACGATCAGACGAATGGAGCGAAATTGTACCAGCTTGAAAGGGAAATTAACGACCTAAGTCAGGGAACACTAGACATTACGGGATATTATACAAAAATGAAGAAGCTTTGGGAAGAGTTAAACACATTAAATGAATTTTCTCAAAGTTATGGGCTGGATTATGAGGAGACTTCCAACCCAGTTACAAAAATGGTAACAATAAGAACCATTTTCTCTGTTGCAGCATCTAAGAATTGGAAGTTGTGGCAACTTAATGTAAAGAACGTTTTCTTTGCGGAGAATTAGATCGTGGTATTTTTATGGAACAACCTTAAGGTTATGTATCTACGCAATATCCTCATCATGTTTGCCGGTTAAAGAAGATGTTGTATGGTCTTAAACAAGAACCACGTGCTTGGTATGGTAAAGTTGCTCAATACTTTATCTTTTGTGGCTTTAAAGTTTATGAGGTAGATTCTAGTTTGTTTATTAAAATAGAATTAAATATGGACTTGACAGTCTTATTATATGTGGATGACATGATCATTACGGGAAATAATGAAGTTGGGATCTCTAAGTTGAAAAATAAACTCTCTGTTCGATTTGAGATGAAGAATTTGGGAGAAGTTAGCTGTTTTCTTGGTCTTGAAATTGAAAAAACAGATCAAGGATATTTTATTTCTCAAAAAGCATATGCAAGAAAGTTGCTACAGCGCTTTGGCATGAGAGAGTCAAAAAGAGAAATCCACTCCAATAGAGCCACATCTCAAATTGATTAAAGATGAAAGAACACTATTAAAAGATGCTAGAAGTTTTCAGCAGCTTGTTGGTAGTTTAATTATTTAACTATCATAAGTGTCAAAATTAAGAGTTTAGATGTAAGCAGAAGCTGCCATTGATGTAGCGATTGAGCTTACAAGGAACAGATGAGAGAGAAGAAGAGAGACCAGTGGAAGCTTCTGGAGAGAATGAATTTGGTAAAAAGAAATATGATTTGTATTTCTATATTGTGTTATACATATACACGTATGGAAAGAATACTTCACCAACTATGTTAGCTAATTATAAAAGTACCCTCAACTATGCATATAGCTATACACATAAATACAGCTACAACTCACTGCCATGCAATACTCGCAATACCCTCCCCCCTCCAAGTTGGAGGTGAGGAACTCACTGCCAACTTGCCAAGAATAGAAGTATGTTTGATCCCTGTTAAGGCCTTCGTAAATATGTCTGCTAGCTGAGCATCTGTGGGAATGTGATGCAAGGTGATGAGGCCATCATGTAACTTGTCTCGTACAAAATGACAATCAACCTCTATGTGCTTGGTACGCTCATGAAACACTGGGTTTCTTGCCATGTGTACTGCAGCTTGGCTGTCACAAAAAAATTGAGATAGATGTAAGCAAGGAACTGTCAGTTCTTCTAGCAATCTTTTAAGCCACACTAGTTCTCCAACCACTTTTCTTACTGATCTGTATTCTGCCTCTGCAGAGGAGAGGGAGACTATTTCCTGCTTCTTGGATTTCCAACTAATAGGACTATCACCTAACAAGACAATGTGTCCACTCACTGATCGTCGAGAATCAGGGCATGTAGCCCAGTCTGAGTCACAGAAAGCCTTCATAGTGCAATCTGGATTGTTGGAAAAGAAAATGCCTAAGGTTGGATCATTCTTAAGATACTTTAAGACATGGAGGGCAGCTTTAAGATGAGGTTCTCTTGGTGTTTGCATGAATTGACTTAAGTGTTGAACACTATAGGCAATGTCTAACCTTGTATTGATGAGGAAGTTAAGTTTCCCAACTAACTTTCTATAGTGAGTAGGATCTGCCAGCAGGGTTCCCTCTTCTGCCTTCAACTTGACAGTACAGTCAAGAGGAGAAGAGACTGTAGTATACTGATTGTCATACTCTCTCAACAGATCTGCAGTGAACTTCCTCTGTGAAATGAGGACCCCATCATCTTTGTAGAACACTTCCAGTCCCAGGAAATAGTGTAACTTCCCTAAATCCTTGATTTTGAACTGATCATGGAGGAAAAACTTTAGTGCCTTAATTTCTTCTACATCTGTACCTGTAAGAATCACATCATCAATATAGACAGCCACAAATACAATTGAAAAACCATCCTTTTTACAGAACAATGAGTGATCATTTTCTGAATGTCTAAAACCCCTGGTGCACAATGCTTCAGTCAGCTTAGCATACCACTATCTTCTTGCTTGTTTTAGTCCATACAAGGACTTGTTTAACTTGCAAACTAGACCAGGAACCTCAATCTGCAGTCCCTGTGGTACCTCCATATACACCTCTTCATGTAGATCTCCATGTAAGAATACGTTGTTCACATCTAGTTGGAATAGGTTCCAGCCCCTTTTAACTGCTATGCTAATCAGGGTCCTAACAGTTGTCATCTTGATAACTGGAGAAAATGTTTCAGTATAGTCTATTCATGCTTGTTGTGTGTATCCTTTCACCACAAGTCTTGCCTTGAATCTCTCAACAGTCCCATTTGCTTTGTGTTTGATTTTATACACCATCTGCATCCTATGGCTTTCTTACCTGCATGCAATGTCACTAAATCCCGTGTATGGTTAGCATACAAAGCCTCAAATTCGTGTGTCATGGCTGGTTGCCATGCAGGGTTTAAGGCTGCTTCCTCATAAGAACATGGCTTAGATTCATGAGTAATATTTCTCATCATATGCTGACTATCCTTGTTTAAAGCAGTAAAACAAGTATGTTGATGGTCTGAAAGGGGAAAATTGAGCAAGACAGTGTGTGAGGTATTGTTCTTTAGATTTGGAAGGGAATACACATATTCACTTAGGTAGCTTGGTGTTTTGACTGTTCTGGATGGTCTTGTAGGACTTGGGAATGAGGAAGTGTCAGTGGTATGTTGGTCTGAAGTATTTGAAAGGATAGGTGAATTTTCAGAAACACCTGCATCAACAGGTGAATGATTGCTTTGATCAACTAGTGAGGAAATATCTTGATCACCTGGTAAAGAAGTGTTGGTGACAGAATTTGGTGAAGTCCTAGTTAGTGACTGACTATTACTCAAAGCATCATTTCTATGACCTTCACACGCAAGATTATAATGAAAAGATGGCAAAACACAAGGAAGAGAAGTGTGATCAGAAGACACTACAAAAGGGAAAACATGTTCATGGAATTGTACATCTCTGGAAATGTGTATTTTTTTAGTGGCTAAGTTTAGTACCCTGTAACCTTTTATTCCAAAGGGGTAACCTACAAAAACATGAGGCTCAGTTCTGGGTTCAAATTTGTCTTTATGAGTTTTAAGAGTGGTAGGATAACATAGGCATCCAAAACTTTTAAGGTGTGAATAATTGGGTTTCTTCTTATAAAGCATTTCAAAAGGTGATTTGTTATTCAGGATTGTAGAGGGTAGTCTGTTAATCAAGTATGTGGCTATGAGGATGCATTCTCCCCAATATTTGATAGGTAACTTGGACTGATACAGTAAGGCTCTTGTAGTTTCCAATAAATATCTGTGTTTTCTTTCCACCACACCATTTTGTTGAGGTGTGTATGGACAGGTTTTCTGGTGTATAATTCCTTTGGAATGAAAAAATAATAAAGTTTCATTGTTGACAAACTCCAGTCCATTGTCAGACCTCATGGACTTAATGGAAGAATTAAACTGGTTTTCTATCATACACACAAAGGTTCTTAGAACTTGAAGTGTATTACTTTTACAACTCATAAAATATGTCCAGGTTGACCTACTAAAGTCATCAACTATGGTAAGAAAATATTTGTAATTGTCATGTGTGACTGTGTGGTATGGCCCCCAGAGGTCTATGTGTAATAGTTCAAAAACATTGGTAGATGATGTGTTTTTCTGTGGAAATGGTAGTCTTGTTTGTCTGGCCATAGGGAAAATTGAACATAAGAATGGTTGTTTGGGTGCAAAATTTACAGGTATGAATGATATTCCCCTCATTTTTACAAAAGGTACATGGCCCAATCTGTTGTGCCACAAATAGTCAACACAATTTTCATAAGACGAAGAATTAGAAAAGGATGCACACACATTAGTAGAACAAGAAGATGTACAAGAACCTTTCTTATTTCTTGAAAGTGGAACATTTACAGATGATGATAAAAGGCAATTAACAGGACAAGTTTCTAAGTTGTCATTATTTACAGTGAGTGATTTATGTGGTTGTGCATTGTTTGAATTGCTAGTAGAAGCAGAACATGAATTTGAAATGAGAGAAGTGGGGACAGTAGCTAAACCAAGGAACTGGCATTTTGAGCAGAGGAAGTACAGACCATTCCTTGCTCTACCAATCTCCTGAGGCCTCTTCATTGAAGAGGCCTATAAAATGCATGAAGTATCAGAAAATTGGACAGTTGACTTAAGGTATGATGTTAAACAATGAACTGAGATCAAATTGAACTTAAAACTAGGGACAAACAACACTTTGTGTAAAGTCAGCTTAGGGCTAAGGACTGCATCACCAATTTCTGTCACTCTAACTTTGTATCCATTTGGTAAGGTTATTAAGAAAGGATAAGGTAGAATTCTAATGTCGGTTAATAGGGCTTTGTTATAGGACATATGATTAGAAGCTCCGGAATCTAAAATCCAATATTCAACAGATGATTTGAAGCATTTACATGAAAGATTACCAATAATTTCTTTATGAGTAGAGCAAGCCAATATACCTGCAAAGTTTGCTGCCCCACTAGTGATGTTATTTGAGACTTCAATTGCATTTCCACCATGGAAGTTCTCCAGCAGATGCAGTAACCGATTATATTGCTCCTTTGTCAGGTTTTGAATCTCCACGCTTTGATTTCCAGCACCAACTTCACTGCATCCTCCAGGAACTATCCCTTCAGGTCCTCCGTACACACTTGCAGCAGATGCCCTACTTTTTCCTTTTTCTTGATTGCTTGTTTTCTCGGCAGAATAGTATGATGATACTTCATCAAACAAAACATCTCTGGAAGTGACAAACTTTTTTGTTTCAGGATCCATACACCTCCATCCTTTCCTATATGAATCATTGCCGACAAAGACACATTTTTTTTGGTTTCGGGTCAAGTTTAGTTTGGTTAGATGTTGGAATATGAACATAGCAAATTGAACCAAATACCCGAAAGTAATTTACATTTGGCTTTTCATCCTATAAAGTCTCAAAAGGAGATTTTTCTTTACCTGGCCATGGAGGTAAACGATTTATTACATGGCATGCACATTGAATAGCTTCAGCCTAAAGCTCTCGAGAAAGATTCTTATCGTGCAACTAGGAAAGGCTCATGGAAACAAGATGAGATAATTTCCTTTCCGAGACACTGTTCTGTTGGAGGGTACTTGGACATGTCATTTGTCTTGAAATACCGTTATCATCACAGTACTTAAAGAAATCATTTGACATATACTCGCCTCTGTTGTCGCTACGTAAACATTTAATCCTCATCCCAAATTCCTTTTTCACAGCAGTTTTAAGCTCAACAAATTTTGACAAATCTTCACTCTTCTCTTTCAAGAGCTTCACCCATGTATATCTTGAAAAGTCATCTACGAACACTATGGCGTAGCGAAAATCACTATAACTTGCTGTTTTTGTTGGTCCCATCAAGTCGGTATGAACCATCTCAAATATAGAGGATCTCCGATTCAATGATCTTTGAAATGGAAGATGATGTGATTTGCCAAATTGGCAGCCTTGACAAACTACATCTTCATGAATATTTTGTAGAGCTGGTATGTCATCCACTAATTTCTTTGAAGAAATTTGCAGCAACAATTGGTAGCCTAAGTGTACCAATCGAGCATGCCAAATTGCTGGACTATCTGTTTGACTTGTCTTCTTCATATAGGCTTCCCCTACTGCCATGACAAATAAGGAACCTTTCTTTTCACCAGCAAGAATAACATTAGCAGTTATATTCTTTACTTTATTAAGAACTTTTACATCATTTGGACCGAACAAAACATATTTTCCAGAATTAGTAATTTGAGAGACTGAAACTAAATTTCTCTTCAAACCTGGAACATGAAAGACATCGTTCAACTTGACATCACTTGTATCTCCAACATCAATCTTTAAAACTTCTTCTTTTGCTACTGGATATACCGAGTTATCGGCTGTAATAATAACTCATTCTCTGTTATGTTGACGCAGCTCTGAAAGTAGCGAATCATTGTCGATTACATAATGAGAGCAACCAGAATCAATGATCCACTCTTGTCTGCAGCTATCGTGGTTGTAAAGAACTTGGGTTGGTACAGCACCATCGTTCCTCCCTTCAACTACTTCAACAGTGAAGCATTGCTTCCATTTGAGTTTCTCATTTCCTTCATTTTCACTGGCAACATTTGCCTTTCAGATCTTCACTCTACATGTTTTCTTGATGTGCCCGATTTTACCACATCTATGGCACTTTCTATTTTCTAAGTTGTCATCAGTAGCTTTTCCACTATTTGAGCCTTTCTCTTTGTTCTTGTTTCCTGTTGATGTGTTTTTCTTTTTATTTTTGTCCTTTGAGAAGAGAACGACATCAGATTCAAAACTTTTTGCCATTTGCTTTGCTAAAGCCTCTTAGTTGGAAAGCAAATTTTCTAATTCTTCAACTGAAGGTTGCTTTGACCAACCTTGAATGGAGGTGACGAAAGGATTGTACTCCTTCAATCCTCGAATAAGAAATCGTCGCAATCTTGCTTCGCCGATCTTCTCATCCGGATCTAATTCTGAAATTTCAGCACAAATGCTTTTAACTCATAAGAAATATTCAGAAATAGACATACCTCCCTGTGTTAGCACTGCCAATTCATTTTTCAACAGTTGTAATCTAACTGTATTCTTTTGAGAAAACAATCTCTCGACTGTCTCCTAAACTTCTTTTGTTGAACTAACATCACGTACATGATCGATGAATTCTTTTCCAATTGAAGTTCTTAAAGCAAAGAGAGCTTTACCACATTTGATCTTCCATTTCCTTCGTGGTTCCGCATTTTCTGGAGTATTTGTGGGAATATCTTCTTCGGCACCAACGATAAGATCCCACAGGTCTTGACCTTGAAGATAAGCCTCCATACACATTCTCTAGTACTTGTAGTTTGTCCCTACAATCTTTTCAACACCAAACTGTGCATTTGAACTACTTCCCCCATTTGCCAATTCCATACTGCACAAAGAATTTCTCCTCCAACAAGACAAAACGAACTTGATAGAAAAGAAGAAAGAAAGAACAACCAGAGGAAGGAAGAAATTGCAGTCAAAGAAATTGTAGGGAGAAATAAAAACACTAAAAAATGTTATTGCTTTCTCTGGAACTCTAGTTTACAGCAGGATATGCAAAGCATATAAATAAGACTAAACCACTAACGTTCAACTCCTAAAAAAGCTCTAACAACTAACAAAGAATCCTATCCAAAATTAACAACTAAGCTGATACTATTCGTATAAAATAGAAACTGAATTATTTTGATTCAGTAAACATAAGTAAAACAGCAAATAAAACATGTAAGATGCACTAATTTTTAACAATCAATTCTGGATCTTTGAAGGAGACGGACTTCTTCTTTGACGGGTTTACTGAAGCCGGCTAGAATTTTTAGGTCTATTTATATTGAATAAACGTTTAAGACTATGTAAGTGTAAGGCTGCATACAAACTCCACTTACGGGAGTTCATCGGGTTAATCAATAGCATATGGGCGGCTATTTATGTTTTTTCCCATTATCTTTTGTAGGCATACAATGTAGTTTTCTTTATTTTTTTTTAATTTCTATAGGTAGTTGTGTATTTATCCCTAATTTTAGGGACTTTTTCGTATATATACGAGATTTTAAACTACTTACCTGATTTGTATAAGTTTTCATATTTACAGAAAGTAACTAAAATTTTTTACAAAAATATATACAAATCTGGTCATAATCTACAATTTATATATAACTTAAATACAAATATTTTATACAAAATTCGGTCAAAAATCATAATTTAAATACAATTTATATACAACTTGTATACAATTATGTAAGTCATAAATATTTTGTATACCGTTTTTTACATTCGATATACAAAATATATACAATTTGTTTATGTCTTCTTTTTCGAGTTTCAATATGAAATCCAAACAAAACCTCGAATCTTTACCAAATTTTCTCAAAATTAAAATATAAACTTCAAAGGATATTCCCAATCAGTTGGACCAACACCCAATTCAAACAAAAAATAATTTACAAAATTCAATTTTCGAATTTAAAGTTTCTACGATTTCTAACGACTATCAATGGAGTTTAAGCTCATGTATACACAAAAAACTTTAGTTTAGTTTCAATTACATCGTCAATTAGTTTCAGTTTAGTTCCTAACACTAATTTTGTTGACAATTACTTGTTTATTTATCTAAAAAAAGTTATGGTAACCCATTTGTATTGGTGCTCCATGTGTGTATTCTATGGCTTTTAACCAGTTAAATCATTTTTCTTCACCATTCTTCAAAGCTTCGAGCATGTGTCATCTGCAAAATCCGAAGAGAAGAGGAACACAGAGAGAAATATCTATACGGAGAAGAAAAATAGAGAAGAACGATGCCTACAATGGGTAAGATTGGAGTTTAATATATTATTTTGTATATAAATGGCAAAATTATATATGCTAGTATAATTAAGTAATAACCTCTTTATGAAGGATAAATAAGTTTAGAGGAATTTTCAGAAACCAATATTATTTAGTGGCTATTAACTTTATATAGCTACCATATATATAATTACTTCATATAGCTACTATTAAGTTGTTACGGTACTGTATTCGTGTTGCTGTATTCATAAATGCAGCAGCAAAAAACGCCTAAAATCAGGGCAGTCTAACTGTACGCGCATGTATTCAAATGTATTCGTGCCATGTATTCATGATACAATAACGACAATCACCTTAAAAATTGGTATGTCCGGCTGTCTAATAACGGAAATAATATCAATTAGCATGATACACTCATAATATAACTCAACAAAATCAATTCTAACATGTCTCATTATCAACTCAATTAATTAGAATGATTTTTTAGTTGTATATAATTGTTGTATTTAACTTTTTTATTTAATGTGTTTCAATATTTTTTTTACTGTTGCATTCATTAGATTCAATATTTGTATTTACCGTATCCGTTATTTTATATTCAGTGTATTAAAATGTATTTGTATTAACAATATTTTGGTTATTCCTAATACATATTATTACTGATATATTCAGTATATTTCATTGGTTGTATTCACTGTATTTCTATTTGTATCTAGTGTATTTTTACTGTATTTTATTGTATTTTAAAATTAAATATATTCATTGTTTATATTATGTTCTATTTTAATATTTGTATTTAATGTATTTCAATGTTTATATCCTGTATTCATGCTTGAATATAGGTGTATTTAGCTGTATTAAAAAAAATACAAACCTTCGAAATATATAAATACAGACAAAAAATAATATGTTTATATAAAAATACAATGTATCTGAGCGAATTTGTACATAATACAATGTATTTGTATCATTGTATGTGACTAAAACTGGTAAAATTTGGCGCTTCTGAAACATAAAAACCGGAATTTTCTCTTGGAGTCATCGGAAAACCCTCAAAAGCTCAGTTCAGATGTGGTCCACTCCGTGCTTGATCGAAACAAATTGGTTGTTAACTCAAAACGCCTGATTGACATCTTCGACTAGTCAAATCACAAATTGGGTGTGACTCAACACATTGATTCTTTCTCTATTCTTGTTTGACTTTATGCAATTCAAAAAGTATTGCAGTATCCGTGTAGAGGAATCCATTATAATATCCAACATAGAAGAAAGCCGCAGTCTCTTTCTTTCTAATATAGCAGCAGTACAAACCCATTGTAAATATCCGGCATAGAAACTAAGCAGTGCAAATCCATTACAATATCTGGCGTAGTCGAAGAGAGAGAGAGAAAGAAGAAAATTTCTGTTGGGATTTTGAGAGAGAATTGTGTGTTAGTGAAAGAAAGAGAGAGAAAAAATATAAATTGCGTATTTCACGTCTCAATTGTAGTATATACCATAAATATCTATTTTGGTATAAAATATAAAAAGTAGCTATGGAAAATAATATTTTAAAATAATTTTGATTTATAATAAATATGGTGTATACCTTACTATAAGAAGTAAAATTTCCATAAGTTTATAATGTAGTCTAAGATGGGAAAAAATCCCCAATTTTTACGTTATTTATCCATTGGGCTAAATGAAATCCATACAAGACGGCCCAAAAAGACGCACAACAAAATTTCAATTTTCCGCCGAATCAAATCAATGTTCAAAGCATGTCTTCATCTGAACTCAACTTTCCCGCCTCTCAAAACCCTAGCAGCAAATGGCGATTCACATGGGAAGCTCAATCACACGTTTCAACTCTTCGATTAATCCTTTTCAATACCAAATTCAAGCCCTCTTCTCAATGCAACAATATCAGTATCAACTTATATGTGGAGCAATCTCTGCTCACTATCAGCTTTTTCGAACCGGAACAAAAACCCGCGACTTTAATTAGGGTTCCGCTTCCTCGGGTCTTAATTGACCCGGAATCTCCGGTTCATTCTAGAGCGTTTGATGATCATATTGAAGTTAAACTTTCTCTTCTTATTCCTGTTGATCATCCGCTCATGTCGGGCTTGGATTTATCTGAACCAGAAGGAAAACCGGCCTCAGATACGTTGTTTCCGTTCTCCGTGAATTATGGTTAGCCAGTTTTCTTTTTCCTTTAATTTTTATTTAAATTTGATTTGTTTAGTTTAATTTTGGTTTTATATGTGCGAATTTGGATGCTTAGTGGTGATTGGCTGATACATTGTGACGCATCTAAAGGTAGAGGCTTTTATCTTAAATGAAAATTTCGTCGATATTTAAAAGTCAAAAACAGCATATTTTGTCATATTTATGATATTGTATTCTCTTTATAGATTACTCTCTCGGTCCCAATTTATGTGATGGTGTTTGATTAGACACGAATTTTAAAAAAGAAAATTATCTCATTAAGGTAAAATATCATTTTTTAAGTTAAATTATTTCTAAACATAAAAAGTGCAATTCCTTTAGAATAGACTAATAGGCAAATATGCCACATAAGTTGGAAGCGAGGGGAGTATATGTACCATTTCTCTAAAAACATTGGGAGAGTGGGAGTACTCTTTATAATTAATATAATGTTTTTACGATGTACCAAGGATGTGGCCTAGTGGTATAGTTGGAATAACTACTAGGAGATCGAAGCATTGGGTGATTTCTTCTTGTACACCCATTCCTTGGTGGAAGGATAGAAGTGCTTAGTGGGACAATCCAGTTGCATGGAAGCTGCCCCCACAAAAAACAATTAGTTATATTTTTGTACTCTCACCATTTATATGATATTTTACACTCTTTTACATCTCTTAGCTACCGCTTTGATTTATTTCCAACATACTCGAGATAATACTAACAATTTATAGATTTTCTTACCTTCATGAAAATCCAGTCTATTTGTAGAAGAGGGAGCAGGAGTCTGCGTTGCGCCTTTGGATTAAATAGTATATTTTAGATGAATTTACTTTTTTATGTTTGTCAGGGATTTTAATAATTTGCAAGACTAAAATTTCAAAATTTGATCAATGTAATGTGTTAGTCTATTAAATCACTTTATGGAGTAGAAAATACAGCTTCAAAGTTCTAAAACATGTGCTAACCACTAGTTAAAATAATGTGAATGACTTAATTAGTTAATTCTCTTGGGATACCAAGACAAAAAGAAAAATGAATAGACAGTGATATTAGAGTAGTTTTATTATGGTTTATATATATTCTCTTTTACTGTGTTTATGTATACCTTCGTTGATGAACTTGCTGAATTGTCATGCTGAAACTGCCATATCAACTTGCTGTTGATTGGATGTTTTAGGCATATAAATGTGATCACTGCTTGACATACCCTATGATTACCCTATGACTACCACTATTTGCATTCTGGCACCTATTGAGCTTCTTTTCATTTATTTATCTTCCCTCTTAATAATTCTTCTTTGTTGGCTTAGAAATGAAGGAGTTATCTGCGATGGAGGAAGTCCACTTTTACTGCAGAAGTTGCTCGACTAAGTTAACCAGGGCTATCAGGTAGGACTCTTCTATCTCTCAGCCGGGCAGACAATTTCGTTACTTATTTTACTTGAATGCCGTTGCATGTCTCTAATATTTATTTCTTTAAGCAGATTATTTAATGAGATGCCATCAGTCGACTGGCAAGATGTTGCAGACAATTGGTTTGGGACATGTTGTTGCTCGTTTGGTGGTATAAGTGAAAAGCTGGTCAAGGAATTTGCAAAGTCATATTCTTGTACAACAGGTGTTTGCCTTATAACTGGCGCATCTGTTATTATATGCAAAGAGGACATTGTTGGATGTGAATTTCCTGAGCCGAATAGGGACCAAACTTATGATTCTCAGGTCAATTCAGCCGAGACGACTTGTTTAACCAGAGATGTACCCTGCAAAAGTGAACAATCAAGAAAGGTCTGCTTCAACTATCCAGGCGCAGGAGAGGTAGTTGATGAGATTAGCAGCGGTCGCCCTATAGAAGAAAATATTGGGGTGAAACAAAACAATGAAGTTGCTGAAATGGTGTTAAATGGTGATAGTTCAACATGCATGCCTTTAAAGTTGAAGGACGAAGACAATATGAAGTCATTGGCTGGAATTTCTTCAGAAGCAAACTGCCACACTAGAAACCAGAACGATGGCTGTTGTACAAGCAATATGTGTGAAATGGAGAAAGAATATGAATTGAATATTGAACTCCTAGATAAGCAGAAGATATTTCTTAAAGGCTGCCTTGGGGATGCTTTTATGTTGAGACCTTCCAATCTTTCCAATGATGTCAATTGGATTGAATTTCTCTGTCCTAAATGTTCATCTATTATAGGATCATATCCTTTCTCCAGTGATATTGCACCATTGGATGATGGAATTCGGCTATACAAATATAACATATCTACTTGTTTGCCTATTTGTGGGGTGAATGATCTGTTTAGGTAAGCCATCTTCCTTGTCCCTCTATATTTTGTTTATCTTGTAATTGGGGCACTCTTGTTTTCATCTGAACTCAAAGTTCTTTACCAACTAGTGGTTCCTGAAACCATGTGGATCCTGTAAAAGTGATGTGTCCTTTAGGCTATATGTTTCTTAACATTTTCTCCCATTATATTTCCCTGAAACCGTATGGATCCTGTAAAACCATACATGTCTTTTTCTCTTTCTTTGGAGAGCTGAAAAAGACATGAGAACAGTAACTTTGTCAATAATGTAGTAAATGCTAAATAGTTTTCTAGTTGTGCTATAAGTAAGATGTTGGTTTGTGTGAGAGACGACATAGGCTATACCCTGATAGAGAGACGTACTTAGGATAGAGCTTATTTCCTCTCTCTTTCATTTATATCCACTACTGATGTGCTATGTGTAAGGAGGATACCTAACAAGTGAAAGATAAGATCTATAGATTGAATGTTGGGCCTTTAAGGCTCAAAATATTCACAAGACGAGTGTGTAGAATTGTTGATGTTTAGAGCAATGCATGTAGTTTAAAATTGACAAGATTAAAAATGATCACATCCGACATAGGTGGAAGTAGGTAAAAGGAGTCTTGAGATGGTCTGGTCAGGTCAGGTCCTACTTTGACCTCCAAATGCATCAGTCTAAAGGCATGACATTGATGATTGAAGTTGTTATAGAGGACTAGTCAGACTTAAAATTACAGGGAGACTATTTCTGAGAAGCAAGATGAACTTAGCTAAGGACAGAATACAATGAATGCAAAAATCCATATAGGTGATGTAATTAGTTGGGATCGAGACTTCGTTGTGTTACATACTATGCATGGTGTTTATCATGAGTGTTTTTTAGTTTAGTTAGAGACCTTACGTTAAGACAACTCTTAGTTTTACTCAACCCCTGATTTACCTTAGAATAAGTATTATTTGTATTGGAATGGATTATGCCCAAATGGAGTGGATATAGAAAATTTTCGTATAGTCAATTCCAACTAGTTTGGAATTGAGGGACAATTGATTGATCGACTTTGATTTCGTGATGTATTAATACACTTGCTCTGGGAGACAGGAACTATACGTTGGAAAGGATGTTTACACGTCAACTGCTTGAAGCTGCACAAGATGAACTATCATTTCGGACTGTTGTCAGAGATATGCACACCAAAAGTCCACTTTCACAAATTGTTCTCCTAAACCCAAATGCATGGTGCTATAGTGGATGTTGCATGCATGACATGGAACCAGCTGCTAAGATCAATATGTACCCGATTGTCAAGCTATTATTCTCTGCGAACATTAAGGGCATGGAACTTGAACCCAGGTGATTGCTTCTCTACTCTAGCTGGTCTTTTCTTCTGCCTTTTCATGCCTTCTTGCATATATTTATATGTTATCTTCCCTCTATCTCTGCCTTTATGCTGGGCAGGGGAAGAAAAGGGGAAGTTGTTGGGGTGGGGAGGAGGTTGGTGTTCAAGCTTTTGGACCTTACAAGTTATATACTGTCATGTGCATCAACTGGGTTTCAGGAACTATATGATTAGTTGCCATATTTAAAGATAAGTTGGCATGAAATACTAAATTATTGACTTCCTGATGATTTTGGAAAAGATATACTATTGTCGAAAGTTTTAGATAGCATTAGATGTTGCTACCGATTTGAAAAGAAATTGTTTTTGAACACTCTCCAAGATGTTGTCGTGTTGCATATAAAAGGCAAAGTGGATCCTTAAGAAGCTAGGCACTGCATCTTATATTAGAAATCCAACTAAAGGTTATCTAGATAAATCTTGTAGGATTTACTGGAAATAAGACAATCATCGACAAGATTTGTTATTACTTCATCTGTTTTAACATTATCCTATTGCACATGTTCCTGTGGCTATTTTCTCTTCTTTCAGTTCACACACTCCTTACCAATGACTCCTGTTCCCATCCATTTCAAAGCTCCTTGGCTGAGATAAAACTTTTTGCAGGAAAGTAGAAGAATGGGTGACCAAGAATCAAACAGATGAAGTTTATATGTTGCCATCTCAAGTGACAGAACTAATTACAAACTTGGAGATGGCAAATAAAATGTGGCCACCGTCACATATGCTGTTGCAGGGTTTCTATATGTCATCCTTGAAGAGATAAACGGCAAGTCGTTTCAATTTCACTCTGACATTCCTTGTAATCGAGGAGGAACAACACTCTTCGTATGTAAAGTGCATGTTCCGTCATTACAAGCATTGGCCTGAAACAGTGATCTCACTAATTGAGCATGTTAACACCCTAGCCTTACTGGTAAGCTGTAAGTTTTGACAACCCCTCACCAAATTGTACCAATTTGTGTATTGTGATTGAATAATTAATAGATACTCCCTTGGTTTACATGAAGTAATAATTTTCGATTTTTAAATTACATACTTTCACATTGTTTAAAAATATTTCATAGTATGTTCTGTTTTGTCGAAAGCTATATGGGGAAATACTTAGCAAAGGACAAGAGGGCCTATCGTTCTCTCGTGGATCCACGTCCTCATAATTTTCCCAAATCAGCTTCCGCAGAAGAATTAAGGACAAAGCAACAATGTCGACTTTAAAGCAAGTTTCTTGGTTGGTATATGGATAGCTTAGATTTGTTTATAGTTGGAATTCTGGCTTGTCTGTCTATCTATCTATCCTATCTATCTATCTGTCTAGTAGAAAAATCAGCCAGCTGAAGGTGTATTGAGGGCAGTTCGCAGGGGAATGATCTTATTTAACTTATTGGTGCCTGAAATTCTTTCATCTATGACTAGCATAATTCAGTGAGTAATAGCAGGACGTGGATCATAATACTGAAGTTCCAAGCAAATAATATGTATTAGTGGAAGAGTCGTGAAAATCTGGTTGTGGAGGGAAGATGATGCTTCATTTTCGGAGTCGGGTATGGTATTTAAGTGGAAAAAGGTAGAGGGACGCATGTATAGAGGGACAAGCTTATTATCTAGAGTTTCGAATCTGTAATAGCCAATTTCCTTGTTATCAGAAAAAATAGAGGATGCTTCATTTAGTTCCAGACGCGGGTTGTCAATAATAATGAGAGTGTTGTATTAGCAATGGGGACAACTTGCTATTGTTGGATTCTTTCAGCTAAGTTTTGTTCCAGAAATAACGCCAAGCCTTTTTTCACAAGTCAAATATATCTGCCATGGATTTTATTCTGCCTTTTATGAGATCGAGGTCAAAGCCGAAAGGTACGATTTAAAAACTCTGGGAATATCACAAGCATTCCCTATCATTAGGGCCAGGTGTCGGCTTTTAAGTCCACTATTTAAAATATATTTACAATGTATTTAAAGATTAGCTAATTCATCCAAACTCTTGAATTTTTGAGCTGTTAATTTAAAATTCAGGACTAAGTGTCTTGAATTTCTGAATTACTAATTTAATATTCTGGACATAAAATTCAAACTTTAGGACATAATTTTCGAATTTTAGGATATATTTTAAACATGGCCCAAAAATGAGTAAGCCATCTTATCACAATCCTTGCACTATCCAGTGAAAAGATTTGAGAAAGCATGTAGTAATTGATTTGATCATTCAGAGAATTTGTGCCAATTCTTTTTAGTCTTTGACCCCAAGAAACATATAGTACAAATTGATAGACAAATTCTAAAATTGTTGTCGTCGTTGAAATTCTGTCTCCTTCAAATATCATAAAGCAAATAAGGCTGTGTCTTCATGTTCTCAAGATCCTGGGAACATATTCCCCTTTATGGCATAAAATAATTGACAGTTCATGCATGCATGCTGTAGTCTGATAATTAGGTTTCAAATAAATAAATAGAAGGGCAAAGTTACCTGAGGAGATTAGAGAAAAGTAGAATTAAAGAATCAGATTTCCATTCTCACTTTGGCTATAAATAGTATCTTGGAAATGGAGCTCTCACAGCTCATTAGTTTGAGCAAATTAGCATTAGTATAACATGCAGAAATATTGAGAAAAGAAGAGAGGTCTTACATGAAGGTAAGAATCCCTTTGATAGCCAAGGATGACTTGCCTGCTTCATTCTTACATGCTAATATTGTATTATGTGCCAATTATCAGCATTCTTGTTTGATCACCAGGCAGTCTCCTTGGCTAGTCTAATGGGTTCGTATCTTTCATGTTAGACTCTTCTCTTCTTCTTCAGCCACTAAAAGTCATAACTTATTTTGTCTCTCTATTTAGAGAGAGACTGACTGTTGTTTCTCTCGTTTTGGTCATCTTACTATCTGGTTGTTATATTTATGTTGCTTTACATGGCTTCTCGTTGTTGCGCTTCTTTTTTCTCTTCATTAATGTGATGCTTATGCTTCCCTGAGCCGAGAGTCTATTGGAAACACCCTCTCTATCTCAACAAGGTAGGGGTAAGGGTACACACTACCCTCCCCAGACCCCGCTATGTGGGATTATACTGGGTTTGTTGTTGTTGTTATTTAGAGGCAAATTCAAGATTTTAAATCAGTAGTTGTGAAGCAGCACTGCACCGATAATTCTTTCGATAATGGTTGAGGATATTTTTAAACAAAATTTCAAAATTATCGATCACCTTCTTAGTTAACTGTGTAATCTGCCCTTTAGCCATCTATCTTTAGATACGAAGGGCTAATGAGTCATAAAATTTTAAGCCCAAAAAATAAGGTAAGAAATGAGGGAAACAACAGCCTCACACCAAGATTTGCTTTATGCACTTGATGATGTGATGATATTATGATAATTCAGATGTCTTTTTTTTTTTGCAAATAAGAAGGGCCTCGTTCCTATCGGTAGAAAAACTTCTCTCGAGCAATTCAAGAATCACTTGGGTGGTAGTAATATAGTCTGCCAATATATATTCCTGTCTTTTTTTTTGACAAAAAATTCATATCTATTATTTTATACCAGTAAATTAGATGAAGCGAAAAAATTTACATTAACAATGAATGTGTGTGCAATGTCGTTGTTTGAAAATATGTTGTTAATAAGAAAGAGAAGGTAAAGCTTAGCAGAATGCTGATATTGCCATCATTTGTTAGGTATATGGTGGGCTATAGTTAGTTTTTACAAAATAATGATAGGTACTTCATACTTGAAAGATGAACATGAACTTAATATGTTGTGATAAAGTTTATGAAGCAAAATATTTGTTAGATTGTCTTATATCGGTTGAGAGAATAAGTTATTTTTTTTCGTTATATGATTTTGGACAATGTCTTTTTCTTTTCATTGTATTACAGTTAAACCCATCTCTAACCCAGTGTTAAACTCTCATGTTATGAATATCCACGCTCCAATAAACTTGATTGAAGAAGTTATCTTCTTATATAGTTTTGAATAATACTTACTTTGTGAGCTTGAATTGAGTTAGACACCCGTCCATTTCTAATCAAATCGAGAAAGAACTATGAAGAACAAGCTTTAGGAGGTTCATGTTGACCAATTAGAGTAGGTTTTCTATGTTTTATTTGGGTCTTATTTATTTTATGTGGTCCAAGAATATAAAATGTCGATGTGGATTGCCACGTCAGCTGAAAAAATTTAAAAAATCTCGTTGAGTGATTATCGGAGTGCAATAGGGATAGTTGAGTGTCTTTCTTGTTATAAATGAAAGAAAAGTGATTTTACTCCATAATTTGAGATAGTTTACTGAGTAATAGACTCTAGAGTTTGAAGTTAAATGTTACTGAGATAGCCTGTAGTTTTAACAACTTTGAGCCGAGTGTTTTTACACTTAAAAAGCATTTAAATACATAACGTAGAGGCACAATAATATATCAATTTCTCTTGCTGAGATATTAAATGTTGTAATTCTTAAGCATTCATCATCCTGCAATTCTTCCGAATCTCACCCCTGTATCACTACAACAAATTTGGTTATCGGTTACAAATTATTTCGTCGCTTAAAAATCATATTTCGTC